CGGGCTTGGATGTCGCTGGGTGAAGAGGGGGCGGCGACGGTGAGGGTTGCGAAGAGGGCGACTGCGAGGGGGAGGAACTTCATTTTGGCGGTTGATTAGTTGACTAGTTCTCAAAGAGAAGATATTTGTTCTTGATTTGATTGATGTTTCTGAGTTGAGAGGAACTGATATTTGAAGATCAGAGTCTCGTTCTTTTATACTCGAATCTTCACGATTGACACCACAATATTCCAACCTCCACAGGCGATAGCCCGATCAAAAGATCCTAGCAAGATATATCCAAAATAAGCTTCTTCACACATTTCCGGAAGTCGGTCCAGTGATAAGTCTGGCACTTTTGCTCCCCGAGCTCCTTTTGCCTAGCGTCTAGGCCCAAAATGGCAGGTGAAGCAACGTCAACCCGCCTCTGCATTCACTGTTACCATAGCATTGGCTCTGCAGTTGTTGTAACCATGGTATTGGAGATGCTCAGCGTCGTATTCGATAAGTATCGACTGATCGAGACTAATTTGGGGGCCAAATATGAGGTTATTCATAAGGTTCTTTGTGGTGGGTGGATTCTAGGCTGATGGGATTTATGTTGCCAAGGAATCCTTCGGCGGGAAGGGAATGGGGACTAAACGAAAAACTACAGAAGTTCTTCTGCTGACCAAGACTTTTGTTTGAATCAATTGAGAAGGTAGTATCTGCATCTGACACTTATCAGGTCTGGATGACAGTACGGGGGGCAATTTGATCCTCAGCGGCAAATAAGTTCGGGACATCAAGTTAAATACTCACAGGTCAAGTAACAAACCATCAGTCAATCCAAATAAGATCATGCTCGAGAGGTGATTAGCAATGGGCATAACAGTACCTATAAATCTGTAGACAAGACTGCTTTCAGAGGTTGAATAATGCTTAAATGCCATAAGCTTTGACCATCAATTAGTACACCTAAAAACACGCTTGATACGCATCTCTATCTACGCGCACGATCCGCATCGTAATACAACCTGCCATACCAAATACGGAAAAGGGTCGATTCGGAAACGCACAACAGTTTACGCTGACTGACAGGGTTCACGGTGGCGATTGGTTGATTGGCGAGACAGAACGGGCCCTCGGGCTAATACTGAGGATCCCGCAGATTGAGAGACAGGGCTTATATCTGTCATACCTCGTAGTCGGCCGCTGCTATACTGAGTAATGCTGATGTCTTTGGATCAGATGACTCTTATGACATGTTGATGGGAATTGAGCCTCTACAAAACAGGAAGGCATGTTGTCAATGAGATGTAAATATTGCGCAGTATCGACTATTGAGGACAAGGGAGGAAAGAAAACTCAAGACTTTGGTCCTAAATGATTAAAAGACTTAGCTAACTTAGTATAAGTTTAGGGTATCTTTGGAAACTTGTTGCTAATTGATTCTGATACCGAAGTGAATACTGCGACTCTGATATCTCGAGACATAACGGTATTATTCTATTATGATGTTCTCATGAATGCAAAAACTTCGTACCCATCACAGCTGGCCACTACTCGTGAAAGCATCTCCGCTGCTGGTATCAATCTCGACGTACGAGTTCTCTGGCATTGCTATGCCAAAAGAGTACTGCGAGTAAGACTCGTCGCCAGCTTGAACACCAATAGTCGGGTGGTCAGCAGCATAAGTGCGATAGTACACGAATCTCACCACCCCGGGATGATCTTTATACAAGCTAACAGTGAAGTGAATCGTTGGTGTCGAAGCATCATCACGTAGCACAGCCATGGTGTACTCAACAGTGAACGTCTGGCCCCTGGACGTTTGGTGAACCTCATATGAGATGCCTGAGTTGCAAACAGAGGACATGATATACATATACTCGATCCAGTATGGGAAGATAGCCACCGATGGGTAGTAGGTAGTAAAGGGCAGTTCGTAGTTCCCTATGTAGAAGTTCTCTGGAGCTTCAAGGGTCAACATCCCGATTGTACTAATATACACTGTGTCTGAGAGGTGTCCATATATGCCGACTGGGAAAGGGAGGTGAACGGTGTCGTATTCATCCATGTGGAAATCTCCTGAGGTGAATAAAGGAGTAGGGTTTGCGAGGACGGTGGTTGGAGGAGGACAGCCAGTGGTGGTTGTGCCGGCTGCGGTGGTTGTCTCGCTAGTAGTGGTGGTAATCTCATCAGTCGTTGTAGTGCTCTGTTCAACCGTTGTACTTTGTTTAGGCGTTGTGCTTTCTTCAGCCGTTGTGCTCTGTTCAGCTGTTGTAGTACTTTCTGTAGAACTCGTAGTGCTGCTCTCCGCAGCAGCAGCTGTAGTAGTCGTCCCATCAGTTGATCCACTGCTCTCCTTTGATGAAGTAACAATGGCGGTAGCGCTCTCATCAGATGACGGTGTGACAGTAGTAGTCCTGTCACCAGAAGTTGTTGTGCCCAGTCCCAGTCCAGATGTTTCTGTACTACCCTCTGATGAAGTAGTCATGACAGTTGTGCTATCCTTGGTCGCCGTACTGCTGTCTTCGGATGAAGCCGTGGTAGTGAGCGCAATCCCATCAGTTCCTGTTGTTGTGCTAGCATCGGGCGTTTTAGTGCTGTATTCCGATGAGATAGTGGTAGTTACGGTGCCGCTCTCAGAGGGAGCCACCGAAGTAGTCGTAGTGTCCTGATTTGTGCTCGCGACGTCGTCAGACTTTGTAGCAGTAATGACTTCGGATGAAGTTGCAATGGTAGTGGTTCTGTCATCAGAAGTTATAGTGCTGCTTTCGACCAGGGTAGTAGCATCCTGTGTTGTTGTTTTGCGGTCAGAGGAGGTGGTGCCATCGGTAGTCGCTGAAACCCCCTCAGCGGTCGTCGTGCTATCCACAGAGACGGACGTAGCTGTTTCCTTGGTCATGGATGTTGTTGTAACATCCTCAGATGCTAATACCGTGCTCTCATCGACATCGACTGTCGTGCCATATGTAAATGCAGATGATGTTTCAGCTGAGGTAGTAGCCGCACCAACGGCACTAGTCGTAATTTCAGCCCCTGTTGTTGTCTTTGGGATAGTTGTGGTGGTGTCAATAGCAGCTGAGGTTTCAGCGATTGCCTCACCCTTAGTTGTTTCGGTGGTGGTGGCGCTTTCGGCAGTTGAGGAGACAGCAATAGTCGTAGTATCATCAACCATAGAAGTGCTGCCTTCGGCTACAGTCGTAGCCTCAATGGCGAGGGTACTTGTCCCAATCGCATTTGAAGAAGCTTCAATCTCTGTAGATGATTTCGGGCTGGTAGTGGATGTATCGATAGTAACCGCAGTGGTTGTAACAGCACCTGCGACACTCGTCTCCACGGTAGTAACAGCCTCACTCTCGGTCGAGGTTGTCTCTAAGACAATAGTTTCAGAACCTGTAGAAGACGGTGCAGAGATAGATATCATAGACTCTGGGGCAGTAGTCAACACAGTTGAGCCTAATCACAATTAGTAAGACATTTCATCTGTCAATGAAGTTATTCCCAGTGGCTTGGCACTAGCTTAGCCAACGCAATATTGGCTTGAACTTACCCGCACGGGAGGGAGCCGGTTTACACGGGCTTGCAACGGCCGACTGCGCCACTAGCAAGCTCAGAGCCACTGACGAAATCCCTTTGAAATGCATGGTTTTTAACGAGAGACTTGCAACGAGCGAAAACTGTAAAGACCGACGGGGAGAGGTACAAAGCAGCAGCCTAAAAGCAGATGAAGAAGGGGAAAAAAACAGAAAACGGAACGAGAAGCATCTTCATAGTGGTATACTCCTTAGCCTCGCTTGTAATTCTCAGCTCATGATTCTTTTTTTAAATGAGAATCGATAGTCTGTTCAATAGTTCGGAACTAGCGGGTTTAAACTGTCAGAAGCGAGGTGTCAATTTTAAACTCAAGCGAGAGACAAGCTTAAACATATTCCCAAGTGGAGAGACGGAAAAGAATATACAGTTGAACCTCCCTGTCGGATGCGAAAAAGAAACTTACACGTCAAGCTGTTATGTAGGTACATAACATTGTACGGTATGCAACAAATCCAGCTGTCAGACTATTGAGCGCCGACGAGGTGCTTCTACAGCGCGAACACTGCTGTGGATCTCCATGACCCCTGCCCTACCTAATGTAGCCTAGGGCGAGTAGACAATAAGAAGTCCACATAAAGCAGGTCTTGGCTCAAGGAAGCTATTTCTTAAATGATAATATCGGTGTGATTTTATTGAAGTATCATAATACTTATAACTCTTTCTCTTTTTTTGTTTATTCTTCCTTCCCCAGAAAAACGTCTCAGGATTGCATTATGTCCATAGCATAAATTATCCAATTCCGGTTGCTGTATGTAAATATCCTTGAGACAGCTATTTGTAGCTGGGATAAGGATACATGTAATATTAAATGATAATAAGATTTCCTCAATCATATGACTAAAGAAAACGCTGAAGTACTAAGTTGTGCTAGATTCCATCCCTGAGTCCCAACATCGTCCAACATCGTCTCGAGTTTATGGCGATCCCCATCACCATCGACGTCCAGTCGGGCAGGGTGAATGGGACACAGAGATAGTGCGTTTTCTGCCTCAGGCATTACCACCTCTGCCCCAAAGCTTTCTGCAGGCAGCCAGTCAGCTTGACAATCACTGACTACGTACCAACAACTTGCAGCATTTGTTTTCATTCTTATCCCTTCATCTCATACTGTGACCGGTGTCGGCAGAAACTGAAACCTAGATGGTCGGCAGAGCAAGGTGGTGGAGAATACGATTTCGAGCTAATCATGCACCAGTTCTGTGTTCTCTGTGGAGTCATCCTTGTGCCATGCCAATCTTCGCTACCAGGTAACCCTCCTAAGCGACTCGATTGGAAGCAAGAAATCCGGGCAGGTTAGTGCAAGTCTTATTCCGATTGATCCAGATGCTCACTCCGTCACGGTCTCGTCTCATGGAGCATTGTCAACGGTGACCTTCACCGGTGTTGGCTATTTCGATGGCAGTGCTCTTTTGGCTAGCAGCGACCATGATGCATCTTATATGAGCCTAGAACATGAATTGGCATGGCATTACTTGAACTATTCGCCACCGACTGGGACATGGACATTTGTTTTTCACGAAACCTGCTGGCAGCTGTTACTCCGAAAGGTTTCCTTGTCGAGAGATAGCCAGACTGAGCCGCAACGTATCGCAGAACTTCTATTCCGGCTTCTCTACTGTCTGCCGTATGACCGCTTCAAAGTTCCTTGCCCAAACCATGATTTTGGTGGTGCCCTAAAATTCTGGACGTCACCCTTGAATCTGTCTGGGCCTCGGAGCTTCTTTCTGGCCGACCCTAGCACACTCACTCTTGGTTCTGCAGTCCAGGCACCCAAAGATGTTTCCGTACCGCTTCACACCACATCTGACTTTCAGGTTTCTGACGATATATTCGCAAGACTTTCACCCGAAATCGTTCAATTGGTAATCGCCAAGGCGGAATCAACAGACCTTTGCAACTTGCGACTTTCATCAAAGTTTGTATCGAAGCTGACTAGAACTGACCATCTCCCGCAGCACTTCTGGAAAAGCCGCTTTTCGGTTGATAAAGAGATGGGGTTCTTTCCATTCGATCACGAGCTTTACCGACAACCAAACTCCCAGATCAACTGGCGAAAACTTTACTTTGACTTGAAGCGTAATTTACGCGACGAGACAGAAACTGGTCACACGCGCAACCGCCGCCGAATTTGGCTATGCCTCGATGTTGTGGCTAGACCGTTGATGCCACTTCTTGACCAAAACCTATGTCTTCAGGACCGCCAAAGCGTAGAGCATGATGTGGTTTCGGAACCCTACGAGCTCGGGCAATTTGTACGGACCCCGACAATAGAAGATGCTCATGATTCTCTTCCAAGCGAGATGGGTGCACGGTGCTTTGGATATCAGTACATTGTCTTCGGTCAGAGAAACCTGGGAATCGAATCGAGGATATCCGTGTCACGCATTCTGTTTGACGGGGCATATTACGTATCCGGTATGAGAGTCTCTAAACGGAGCCACGGGAGCAGCTTCAAAGAGATCTCTCGTGTTGGTTACATCGTACCTCATTCAGAAGTTGACTTACATCTCGGTGCAAGCCATCGCTTGACTGAGATGCGGGTCGCCGCCTCTGCAACTGGTATAACTGGTCTAGGTTTTTGTATCGACGATGGGACCGATGCCATTGCTTGGAAGAACATAGGTGTTGTAACTGACGTTCCTGACGGTGTTGGACTAGGAACTTTGAAGCCGAAATTTAAATCCCGGTTGTGCGGCGCAATAATCGGTTTCGATGTAAGCTGGGGCCTCTCTGTAACTCAGTATCTGGCTAACAAGACATTCAGGTATGCAAATTTGTATCATTTCAGGCCCTCGAAGAAGGGATAGAAAGCACAGACACGCAAGTTGCTGCAACGAAAGTATCAGGTACTATGTCTGGGCTTTGGCATCCCTACGAGCCAGACACCTCCGTGTATGGAGCCATTCATCCCTCTGCAGCCAAAGATAAGCAGACAGTCAACCAGCTATATCTTTTGAATATGGACTTCGGGGGCCCTGGAGGAGCCCTTATTTCACGTCTCAGCCGAATCACTGCTTTACACGATGACCAGCACGGCTCCTTCAGAGGGTTTGTCTTTTCCTATGCAGATGGCCGTACCAAGAGTTACGGTACAAGGACAATCATAAATACTACAAGTGACCGTTCTACTTGTATTGGGCAATCCTCTTATATAAACGGACCCGGAGGCGAAAGGATTGTTTCTCTAGAGTTCGCGCCGGACGCGTCCTCAGAGACTGAGAACATCAGTGCGATTAAGGTATAGTCTTTAACAGTCTTTAACAACTAACTATAGACGAAAAATAATCTATCTGACGCATTTCATAGCTAAGAACCACCCATGACCGGATTTTGGAATTCGGGAGGACGTGTTCCTCGGGTGAAGAAGCCGAGCATTCATGGCAAACAATTATCCCGCCTGCCGGGATGTCCATTTCCGCAGTACTTGCCAGAGTTCAGGTAGGTAGCAATTTTGGTTTGAATGTCTTCATATCCACATGACTGATCAGTCAACAACCATTATAGCTGCGTTCAGGGGTACTCCAATCACTAGGTGTACAGTACGTGACTGATTCAGCTGCTAATCCCTCGAAATCACCCTGCACAGCTACCGGTGTGGAACACTGTAATCCACATGGTTTCAAAATGGATAAAGACAGACTGGAAATGGCACCCAGATCTCTACAGCGCTCCGAGGGCTGCTTTTCCTCTGTCATCCTATCCGGAGTACGGCGCATAGGTGTGTCAAAAGGTCTACCAGGACGAACGCGGGGGCTCGATCACATTGCCGGACTCTGCTTCGAGTTCTGGGGTTCAGCGTATCCTGTTTACATCGGCCAGTGGGATTGTGAAGTTGGCTACCTTTCACTAGAGCAAGGTGAAAGGATATGTAGCTTCACCTTCTGGCAGCGGCAAGAATCTTTTGCAAGCAGCAGTTCGAGAGAGAATGCAGGGAGGATCACCGGGATCAAGATCACTAAAACAGGACTTGGACAAAGAGACATGGAGATTGTCCTTGGAGATAAACAAAAGATGCTCCTGTACTCGTTTACGGAGAATCCCTACGAGCGACTGGTAAGGACACCACGGTCAAGAAGATTACCGGACTCGATTCTGACATTCTAAAAGATGGGCCTAGCCTGGACCTTCAATCGCGAATGCGATTACACTTATGTTCTCACAGAGCCTTCAGAGCACTTCCCACGGACTTCTCTGACTTTGAGCATCATGACGCACATGTGGCCAAACTGTCGCGCACCAGACTAACTGACTTGGCAGGCTGAGGACGAACAAGGCAGCTTATGTACAGTCTCGAGAATTCACGCCGCCTTTTGTCCCAGCTCTGGAAAGCTCTCTGGTTTCATCTTCGATTACGGTACTGGCCAGGTATCCAGGACTGCAGGATCCGCAGATGGTGTCAAGGTTTCCTTTAGTCTTAGCAGCGATGAATGGATAACCTGCATGGATTTACAACTTTGGGAAGAGAAAAGTGAAGTAGTGGTAAGCATGACACGACCATTTTCGGTCTGATACTCGAAGTTTCTTACGAGCCGTTAGTTCTATACAAGCACCGGCAGGGTAAACTCCCTTTCGCCTTCTGGTTTGTCCTATCAACCACGACAGAAGGCATCATCAGATTACCAAGTCTTCGAATTCAATCAAAGTAAGAGAGGTTCACGGGAGTGTCGGGACGAGAGTTCGGAGTTCAGTGATGAGTGTGTTGGAATATGGGTGACGACGAAATGGTGGCCTCAATATGCAGGTATCGTCGAAGCGGCTGGCCCTATCACCATCTCAGGAGGTGAAAGTCGATAATAAGGTAATAAATGTGGTATGGGAACTGTATCTAGAGTAACTGTTTAGCCCAAGTTGCGAAAGCAAGCCGATGCCGTTAACTTTCGCATATATGTCAGCTGCAGTCTTGGTTTAGTTAACTGAGGCACGATGGCGCTCTGTCACGGCTCGATCGTTGTACGCAGTGACTGCGGATAATCCTTTGTTGATCAATCTCGGGCCTTACCAGGTTGTCACTAGGTAAGGCTACCCTAGATGCTGTTATCTGTGAGCATGTCCTGCTTGTTCAAATAGCACTGGCGACAATGCTTTTTACACTCTAGAGATTCTCGAGATGAACTTTTAGAATGTAAAGAAAATGAAAGTTGTAGCTGGTTCGTGGTATCTACGTAATGGTCCCAACTGGAGCCACAGTGAATTGCTTTCCGTTTTTGGTCATATGCACCACTTCACAGAAAAACTTTGACACCTCACTAGTAACCTATGATTTCAATCTGTCTGATTTCGAAGTAGTCAGGAAGATAGTCGGAGATACGGAAGCGTTGTCTCACTTTTCCAGCTCGGCTGACCCAAGAAACTTTGACGCAGTGCAAATCTAAAATCTCAAAGCGGCGGGCTCAACGACTGGCGTGGAGCGAGGTTACACCGGGTAGGGAAAAGTTTTCTTGTATTGAACCAAACAGCCGTAGTGCCGTTGATTGTTCGCAAAGCCAACGGTAGTGTATGGTTAGCTTAGCATCAGCCTCGCGCCAGTGTCCTGCACCACCCTCCTCCAATGACTCGTCCCCTTCCCTCCTCCTGGCCCCCTCTTCCAGACCTCTCTCAACACATCAATCCCACTCCTTACGCTTGCTAACCTATACCCCTCGACCTTCCTATACCACCCCCTGAATCTATCCTGCAGACCCTTCTCGAAGGCCTCACTCCCCGCTATAAACGCTGGCCAGTACAAAGGGGCAGAGAAGATGTTCTTCTCAGACTTGATGGCCTCAATGGCTTCTATGGAGGATAGGACGAGGAGGATGTGGGTACGGAGGTAGTTGTGGTGCAGGTGGCGGATGTGTTGCGCAAAGTAGATTATGAGGGCGGAGTGGAAGGCGAGGGTGGTTTTCTGGATAATGAGTGCGCTGGGAGTTGTGTCTGAGTCGGAGGTAGAGGACGAGGCGGGTTCCCAGTCGATGATGTCGGATTCGAGTTGGTCACATTGGTCGGAGAAGTCAGTTGATGGGCTGTTTGGTTGTCGTTGGCGGGACGTGGTGACTTGGTCGATGAGCTCGGTTGTTCGCGCAAGGAGGATGAGAAGGGCCTGAGGAACACCGTAAACGCATTCATACTCGCCTACTTGCTGGGCCTTTGGGGCAGTGACGTGGTTAAGCACTGACTTCGAGTTCCCCGGACCTACGCCTTCATCTTCGACTTTGTCCAGTAGACTGACGGATAGGGCAGTGCCAAAGTCGGCCTCGGGAGAGGGTGGAGATCCATCGTTGTAGTCGCAAGAGTTCCTGCAGGCTGTACTGTCGTAGATGACGCGGAGGTAGAAGTATATGCGGTGAAGGGAGCGAGCTTTGGAGGAATACGTGGACTTGGTGGCTTTGACGTGGTTCATGAAGCGGAAGGCGCCGTCTAGATGGATGCCACAGGTGCTCGTGTCTCCAGACATGACCTGTACCCCCCTTGAAATTAGTATATGTGACAACATGATCCAGTTCATCCAGCGCGCAAAGGCAACTCACATTGATGGTGATTTGTGACAGCATCGTAGCCAGCAGCTCCTTATACTTGGGCCTCGACTGTGGCGTCGACCCCTCCACCGTTTCCTTCAACAACTTGATCGCCCTGCCCCTAAACGTCACCGCATCCTCCTCCCACCTATCCCCTTCCTTCTCACACCCTCTCTCACGGTTATCATTCGCCAGGTAGAACGCGCTGATGCTCAGCAGTGCGTTCCGCAATGCCTCCCTGACCTTTGTCGTGGAGCCGTACAGACTCAGCTGGCCGGCGGACTGTAGGACGCGAGGGAGGTGGATGGTCTTCCAGGGTGATTTCTCGTAGGAGATGACACAGAAGAGGTGGACGACGCGGTGGACGTAGTGGTTGAGGAGGAAGCGTTCGAGGGTGGGCAGGGGGAGGGGCGAGGGGTTGTGGATGATGGTGTTGGAGGTGTCTTTCCACCAAAGTGCGCGGTCGTCTTGTTGCTGAGGGCACTGGGGGGATGAGGTGTAGTAGTTGAATCTCTCAGGAGGCGCTGTTGTTATTGAAGTAGCGGGACTCTCGGGTGGCCGATCTCGAAAGATAACAGCTGTGTTATCTTGAATGCTATCTTCAAGAGTAATGGCTGTGCCCTCTTGATGTGACGTGAGACTCGCGGAGGCCTCATGAGCATGAAGAAGGGCCCCAAAACCAGTCAGGGTGAATCCAGGGATGGATGCATGCGGAAGATATTCCTCGTGACTCGAGTCCGGCTCCCAAGAGTCAGCGAAAGAATTGCTAGATAAAGACGGCGGAGTATCATCCGGAGGCGGTGCCGTGGCGTAGAACGGCAATGTGCCGTCATCATGATAGCCTTGTTCAGTATAGGATGGGTCAAAAACGCCGAAACTGGACAAGAAAAGCTGGCTGTGGTGTGACTGATCCTTTTGGCCCTGGAAGCTGTCGATCTGGCTAAAGATATCATCGAGTTCTGATAGCTGAAGGGGAGATTCTACATTCTCATCTGTGAATCAACTATGGTCAGCCTTCATGATGAAATGTACTCTTTAGACTACCATAGTCGCGTGCACGTGTGAGCACTTACCGCAAATGACAAGACTTCGCTGAAATCTTTGCTGGCCGAGTTCTATGTCATCCTCAGATTGCCTACTCCCATCATGGCGATATCCGTGAGATTCAGCTTCCAAAGGCATCCATCGCAGCCTGACCTCGTAGCCCTCACAGCAAAGCTGCTTGAGGCTGCACTGCACACACCTCGGCCGGGTCTCATCGCACTTGACTTTTCGCGCGCGACATGTCCAGCACCCCGCGAAACTCTTGGGACGTCTTTTGCGCAGGGATGCTTGATCCATGGCTCTCCAGCCTCTCTGGCTCAGACTGTTACCAAATGGCGAAAGTGCTGCCGACAACGACACGGACAGTCTCTGTGGATGCTGGCGATCAGCAGAGGGGGGAACTTGAGAGAGGAAGTTCAAGGCGGTTGGTTATTGCGGAGCAATTGAGGACCACTGGGGCCCTCCCCACCCAATATGTAGATGGAATTGACACAAACGGAAACGAGCTGATAAGTCGACAAGACTCAGAGGCTTCCCCGCCTTGATTGACTTGGATGGGCCATCCTTATCGTCCAATGTTCTACAGATTGGCTGCTAATGCAGACGCTTATCGTTGCAAGGAGGGGATTCTGGGGCGCGAGTCAGATTTGTGCTGATAAGTTGCGGAGAACGCAGCCCGAAATGGGGTGATCTGCCTCCAACCATCCACTGCACGCTTGACTACGGAGGCGCTAAGCCTGCTAGCCTTCAGTAGTAAATCAAGGAAACTATGTGAACCGTATCCGCTATCTACTTCCCGTTACGAGTGGAGGCCGTTGGTCACGATTAGCTCGCATACTAGAGCTCTGAGATGGATCTGTATCTGCGGTGATGGGCGCCATCGCATGCCAACGGACCATTTAGGTGATGCAGCCAACTTAACTCAATCAACAACAATCATGTGTCCTTTCCTGATATTTTGACTTGCATCGTGGCTGAAGACTTTCTTCCTGCTTCTTCTCCTTATTCCTGAATAACAACGACAACGACGACAGGGTTTCCAACCCGTATTACATACAGGCGCAGCCAATCGTACAATACCACAGCTCAAACAACAACCCAATCCAACCATGGCTGTCAAGGGGATTCCATTATGGCAGCAAAAGGCCGCTGAGGCAAGAGCCCATCGCGATGCCTCTCTCGCCAAGGTCGAGCCGCCGTTGAAGGGTGTACCGGCTGCCGAACAGCTGCCAAAGAACTCTCTGGAGCTGGTGCCTCAGGTCCTCACCCCGCGGGAGATTGACATCACAGAAAGTTACACCGTCACCGAGCTGCTTCAGGTTCTTCGGGAGAGGAAGATTTCGGTTGAAGAAGTCACGCGAGCTTTCTTGAGAAGAGCAGCGCTGGCCCAGGCTACGGTATGTTCTGCCATATCGAAAGTCTACACGAGAATGATGTAATGGAAGCTGACGACGGGGGGAACTCCAGACAAATTGCGTTACTGAGCTCCTCTGGGATCAAGCTATCGCCCGTGCTAAACACCTAGACTCTTTACCCTCCCCCCAGGGTGCCCTCTTTGGCCTGCCTATCTCGACAAAGGAACACCTTGGTATGATCGGCGAAAATGTCACGTCTAACGCCTCCTTCGCTGCCTGGGTCGGTAAGCCCCACGGCTCAAACCTCCTGTTCGACAGCCTGTGGGCCGAGGGCTGCGTCTTCTTCGCCAGGACGACACAGCCGCAGGCAATCATGCATCTGGAGACTGAGAGTAACGTGTATGGAAGGACGGTGCACCCGTTGAACAGGGAGTTGACACCTGGAGGGAGTTCGGGAGGAGAGTCGGCGTTACTGGGTATGAGGGGAAGTTTGTTGGTGAGTGAGCTGGCTTTTCGACGAATCCTTGCCCTTGTATTGTCGT